TTTTTATTTCTAAATGATGTAATTATATTTGACCATTTTCATTCACAATAATGCTTGAATTGGTATACACATGTGAATATTACAAAAATTCCCCATAAAAATAGTGTTTTTTAATTAAAAAAATAGTTTGTTTGTCAACTCTTAATTATCAAATGACAGGATCATACCTATGTTTATTGGAATTCAAACTTCTTTTCCCCCCTTTTTGCAATTCTTATATCGTATGTACCCTAATTTCTTTCTTGTTGAAAAGGTATCATGAATTTCTTGCCCACTCAAAATAAATCAAACATTCCATAAAGAATTATTATGATGAATAGCTTATCCTGAGTTTTGCCAATAAAATCCATTAAAGAAAACAATAGCTTATTTGGTTTAGCTATTAAGAAATAGTTAATAATAATTAATACTCTATACTTAACAATTAATAGTTGTTATTTTGATCATTTAAAAGATTCCTTTTGCTTGATTAAAAAAATAATAATTATTAGCTATTCCCAAATAACCAAACTAAACCATTCATATTTCTTAATTAAACACAATAATAAGGATTGTAAATGAATCATGCAGCTCATGAGCTACTTAATTTAAGTTTGATTTGAGTTCGGCTCGTTTGCTAAACAGACCGAGCTTAAGCCCAATGTCAAGTTCGATAAACAAACGATTTCTAGTTCAGCTCGAGCCTATATGTTAGTCTTATGAGTTATTTATGAGTAACTCATCTAATGATATTAAAAATATTTAAAAAATTATATTATTTGATTTAATTTAATTATTTTAAAATATAAATAAGTTGGCAGTTCGCGAGCTACTCTGCTTAGCTTGTTTATCTTGAGCTCCATTTTTTTGGGTTCCACAAAGCTCAAGCTTTGTTATTGTAGACTCAAGTTTGAGCTTGAGTTTGAGCATTTTTTTTTATTAATCTCCCGGTATCCATAAACACATTAGATCCTGATTAATTTGAAATCGAGTTGTATAGGACCTTATAAGGGAAAATTTTTTCAGTGTTTATTTTTTCATTTATAAAACTCAAATTTGAGATCTTATTTAAAGGGAACCGAGATCTTTTTATTCGAACCAACAAGTTATTAGTTTGAGTTTGAGCATTCTAATACTCAACTATACTCGACTCATTTGCAGTCCTACCATTAATCTCGCTGGAACAACCTTAGCAGCGGGGACCTTATCAACCACTGTATCATTATCGTTAGGACAATCAAAAGATATTGTAACAAGCTAGGTGTGACGCAAAGTGAGTGAGCACTCGGAACCCTAGCTAGCAAAGAGGCACAGATGGCTTTGCAGGCACAGATGACTTTGCTAGCACAGATGGTTTTAGTTCAGATTGTTAGACACCCCCTTAACTTTGCAAATAACAGTGTCATGTGGAAATTACATTAATGATGCATAGCCAGATTTGTATGTCAGTCATGGAGTTTACTGTTTCACTTTTTGCAAGTAATTTTCCAACTTTTGGCAATTGAAGGCAGCTTGGAATGTTCAATTGTACAGTGGAATTTGTGAAAAACTGAAACTAGGGACCCATCTCTTCTACAAATATGTGTTTTTTAATCCAAACTACATAAAATAAGTAGAGTCCAAGATGTGACATTACCATAATATCTTTAATTAATGAAACTCTTTCCATGTTAATTCATTAAGAACATTCTAGGGAGTTTAGTGCCCAGCCGGTAGAGTCCAAAGACTTCAGACTAAAAGACATGGAACTCTTCTACGAATTTGGTATATCATATATCAGTTCAGCATCAAGGTGGTATCCAGAAAAAGCTATAGCTTAACAAATTTTCTCCCATGTCAAAGGAATTGAAATTAATAACTACCAACTTTACATGCGCTAACAATGCAGTGATAACCGAAAAAAAGCTCTAACTTTGCAAATTTTTAACCATGTCAACGGATTTATTGATTTGATAATCTGCTATATCAACAGACAATTGCAGCTAAAAATAACACGTGTTTGTGGTAATATTACACATTCAAACTAATGGAAAGTTGCCAGTCGTTCCCAAAGGTCCCCCTCCTCTTCCTCTTTTCTCCCTTATTCCTTTCCCTTCTCCTTCCCTTCCCACTGCAACTGCTCATTCTTTTAGTCTTTTTTGATCTTTAAATAAGGTTTTAGCGGTCCCCTGTGAGTGCTGTTCGATCGTCCATTTGCAGTCTTCCTTTTGACATCTTCAATAAACAAGCATTAGGGGATGAAAAAGAATTGAGATCTTTCTTTCTTTGTAGGCTGTTGTCACGTTGTACCTTAATTGGTTGATTAATACGAAGGGTGAAGGTACAACTAATCTATTCATATTTTTAACTTGAGCTACTTTTGCTTCATATTGGACTGGCTCACCATATTGTACTGTTATTGTTATTAACCTTGCGTATATTTTATTAATGAAATTTCATATTTTTGTAAAAAATTTATGCTAAAATTTATATTCAAATAATCAAATTGAAATTTTTGGAAATTTTTTTTCTAGGGTATTTGTCATTTCCCAAAATTTTAAAGTAATACGTAATTTATCAAATGTTGTCATTAACAATTTAAAAAACCTTAAGAATTTTTTTTTTTTGATATTAACTGCATAGTAACATAGGGATATGAATTTTTAATTTTTATTTCAAATCATGGTTTTTAAATTAATAAGTATCAATTCAATTAATTTATTATTAGTTTTAAAAAAAGAACCTTAAGATTACAACCCAATGAGCGTATATTTTATAGTAATTTTCCTTATATTTTAGTTATTTATTTATGAAATATTCTTTTAATTATGAAAAGATATCAAGCTATGAAATTAATGAGAAATAATCTAAGCAATCATATTAGAAATCACGAGACTGCATCCGCAAGTTGTAGGGAAGTAGTCTGAAAAGTAGAAAGGCTGGTCATGCTAGCGGGTAGTAGGGTTGATAAATCTTAGGGAGGAGATTTGCCCAAGGAGTCACGCTAGGAGTCCAGTGGCTTTTTCTAAAGATTGGGTTGAGCTTCGTAGCAGAGGGCTTTTTTTTTTTTTTTAATAAAAGACAATCATTTTTTATATTTTAACTTACTTTTTGCATGTTATATAATTTAAATTAAAAATCTTTTATCTATACTAAAAAGAATTTACTGCTTAGTCATTTAGAGTAGAGTAGCGGCTCATATGGTACACACATGTTGTTATAGTGAAAACCCAAATTCAGGGTTTTTCTTTTTTAATGAAATAATTAAGGTGGATTTAAGGTATGTTTAGTTTAGAAAATAAATCCCTTTTTTACAATCACGATTGCACTGAATTGCAAAACAAAAGCTATATTGAATAGAGATTGCACACTACTTTTTCCTCAGAAAATTTAGTACAGTTTAAGTTCTCTTTACGCTTCTTTAAGTTGAGTTTTAAATTTCTAAAAAGCAAAAACCCAAAACTGAAATTTAAAAACTCAACTGAATAGAGATTTAGATAATTGCAACATTTTTATTATTTCTACATTTGTTATTGGAGGGGAAATTTTCTTATAGATGTCCTGATTTGATATTTTAGTCAATAGAAAAATGATATCTTGAAAAACTTTGCATCTCATTCTTTAGTTGTTACACAAGATAATATAGACTTGAGATACCATATCATCATCACACCTTATCATGAAACGTAGAGTTTTTTAAGGTGTCAGAAAAGTTTATGAAGTATCATCTTTCTATTCTATTAGTTGAGATGTAACACAAACGTAGACTTGAGATACCAGTGTCAACAATATCCTAGTACATAGCGAATTTCTGTTCCCCTTAATTACTTATTCATCAATCTTCCCCCTATTATTTCGTGGTCCTGTTTGGTTGGAGGAATCATTATTCTTTGGTCAAACTATATAAATACAGCAAAATTGACAAATTTACATGACAAGTTAGAAATATATAAACTTTAAGATAGATAATTTTTTTTTACTAAACTACAGAATAAAAAATAGGTATCATGTCCCTAAAAAAACATTAAGTATTCTTTGCTTTTTATCGTATCTCAAAGATTATTAATCTTATTCCTAACTTGCCAAGCTAAGTTTCTTAATTTTACCTTGTTCTTGTTTTTATGGTTAGAACATGAATAGTTATTCCTCCAACGAAATAAGCCCTATGCACCAAACACGAGAATACAGTCTTCATTTTTGTATAATTTGGTGTGTTTTTATGTGTATTTTGAAGGATCCTACTTAGACATTACTCCCTGTGGGAGAGTGAGAGTAATATTGTTCAACTATAATATTAAACTTTTGAGATTATACCATGTGATTCCTCCTCTTACAGATTACAGATCAACATGGTCGAGAGTCCATACCCCTCTATCATAGAAGGTGAGTAGGTGACTCTGAACTTTGAACTAGATTATGCTATTGAATCTGAATGACTTATTAATCTTCTACATGAAAAAGTCACTTAATGACTTATTAATCTTTTACCCTCTTCGCTTGCAGTCTGCATTTAATAGATGATGTATCTACTCCTTATTCAACATTAATAACTGTTCAGATGGTGATAGGTGAATAACATGAAGGATTCTAACCTTCATCTAATTGACGTGACTCTTACGAGCTGTAGTCATGATTGCTCACTGGCAGCCAGCTTCAACTTCTTCTTTGGGGGTGGGTTTCCACCAGAGATCACCACATATGTATAGAAGGACAGCATTGCGGCACTACATCGTTAAACAATTTGTTAGGAAGAGAGCAAGAAAATTTTTAACATTCTTGATCAACAAAAGCACTAGGCACATATTAAGTACCTTATGACAGCATAAAACCCAGCTGGAAATGGCTTCTTAGTCTGCAACCACATATCATTACACTGTTAGAAAAAATACCAGTTATGCAGAAATCCTGATATAATTTGTTCTGATGCAATTATTACCAATGAGTAGGCCTCAATGTTCTTCCACAGAAGGACTCCTGCTAGTGCTGCAAGGTCAGAAAAACTATGTAAATTCATACAAGATAATAACTGATCAAAAAATTTATCCTTCCTTATTGAAATATTCTTTTTATAAAAAATGGATCTCAAGAAAATATGCCACACAGACCCACTTCTAATATTTTTCTCCTTGGCAAATTTCTTGAATTCCAATTTATTTTATAAAAGATCATTAAAACTATATTTTCTTTATTGTAGGCGCTTTTCTACAAGTTTCAAGTTTTGATGCATAGCATGTGATGCCACATTTGCAGTTTGCACCCCACATATTTCCTCACCACATCATGCCCAGACATGTTAAGGGAATCTGTGATCCAAGGACAGGGACCTTGGGTGATGTCCCAATACTCCCCATTTGCTATGCACAATAACTACATTTGACAAAGTTGGACTTGGAGCCAAAATGGAGATGGTGTATGACAGAGATTTTCTTTGAAAATTTTACACATTGGGCACATCCTGGCACATTATTGGTTACCATACGAGTGTAGTGGTACAATTAACATTCCATATAACTGAAAAATTGCTTGCTTGTTATAAGTAGTCTAGACAAAATCAAGTAGGACTCTTTCAAGGCTTATCCTATGTCAACCATATTAACACAAAGAAGCCAATTCCACCAACTGACAAACAAGAGCTTAACCAAGTTGGTAACCACTAATAATTTGATATTTTGAGCAAAGGTCAAGGTTCAAACCTCGACAATAGCTAAGTAGCTAGCTTCCTACATACCAATAAAAAAGAAGTCGATTTCACTTTTTTACCCGACAATGTAATTGTTTTAGAAAAATGAGCAACAGCAATTGAAAGGAAAATGCTACTGCAAGCCAGAAAATAGAAAGCAAAGCACAGATTTTTAATGTTTCAAATGTTACTGCAAGCCACAGAATAAAAAGGTAAAGCATGGATCTTTGATATTTCAATGAGTTGTTAAGAAGAACTCCTTAACAAACATAAAAATTAAGATACCTGCTTGCCCAAGAATGAATGGTAAACTTGATTTTCCTTGCCTCCAGATCTTCAAGCTGAAGGTGCTGAGAGCTAGCAAAGCACCTCCAAAGAGTAGAGTAGTGGGATTTCTTGAGAATATAAAGCCAATAAGTCCCCCACTTAGAACAATGCCACCTGCAATAAAGTGCCACTAATTGTTGCCTCAAGGGAATCTAAAATTGTTATTCTATTAATTGTTCAAGGGAAAAAGATTGAGTGTGCTAGAACATTCACTGGTTGTTTACAGACTAATATGTAAAAATTCCAAGAATTCAAAAGCTATAAAAAGAACTCTACGCTTGTAAAGTTTACATATTCTGTTTCCTTCCAATGATATTATGCTTTACAAAACTACAAAATTAGCTTCTCTCTCTAATATAAGAGTCTATGCATCAACTGTTGCTAGATGCATAGTTCTTGGATTCATGATCTTTTCATTGACTTAAAGTCAAAATGAATAAAGTACCAAGTTAGGAGTGATTTAGGCAATTCAAATAATGTTCCACAAACATCAATAACTGTCATGATTCATGCCAACTTAAGTGACAACAATCTATGAATCTCTTCAATAACCAAACAAACTCACCATAAGGAATGCCGAAACAGAAATCATGAATTTTCGCTGCTCTTGTTTGTTGGTTAACTCCCTCTTCCAAAACTGGCTCACTCACCCCAATTACTTCAGGATCAGGAACATGGCTATCTGCATTCACATGTGACTTTTTTGCCTCCCCCATAAAAGGTTCTGATTCTTCAGCTGCAATACTTGCATTAGTTCTAAGCTGGGAACCATTAGAGTCCAAGCCACGCTCATCAAGCGTCATTACAATAAATGACTGGAGAATTAAACAAGTCAGTAACCCAATAACACACAAGGAAAACACAATTTATTTCCAACATTATATCAGAAATTGTAATAGATAAAATTATCAGAGGAGGAATGAACCTCCCTCAAATTTATCTATCAGAGGTAGAATTTTGCACGAATGGCACAAAATTTCCAGCATATATAAAACTTACAAAACAAATAAACCATCGAAACCTCTAATCATTATTGAATATCATGGCAAACCCATGAAAATGTCCATTTCAACGGAAAAGGGAAAAGACCCAAATTCATTTCCATAATGGAAAAGGATCCATGTTCCTGTTTGATGGAAAAAAACCCAACTTCACTCACGTAGTTAATAAAGTTGAATGCTTTTTCGGAAGTAAACTGGCATCACCTTAGAGCGAGGGATTGGGCAGAAAATGGATCGTGACTGCAGCTGAAATCTGCGGTTGATGGAAGAAAAGCAAGAAAGCTGAGAGATTGCCGGTGCAGTTGCTGCCATTTTGATTGAAGAACTGAAACAGAAACAAAACCCCAAAATGGTAGAATTATTAGTGATGAATTGGGGGTTTTAGGGTTTGGGGAACAAAATTAAGGGTTTGGTTCAAGCGATTTTGATGATTTTTATGATTTTGCTGGCGCCCTTTATTTGATCTTTTTAATTATTTGATTTGATGAGTATCGTCTCTCGATTTGATTTTATTGTATTTAATTTTTTGTCTTCGCTTCATTATTTGACATTTTTTTGTCAAAAATATGGGATAAGGACCTTAATTTGTACAAAATTCACAATTTCAGATCTAACTTCAATTGCACTCCATTGAGGTCCTGAACTACACAAAATTCTCAA